ATCGGCATATGTTCGAAGAAAAACTGAGACGGACATTTCCCTAGGTTCCCTCGTAAATCTTAAAATTATAACACTTATAATGCATTTTTCATCATTGTATAATGATACCAGAATACCAATGTATACATTGTATACATTGTATACATTGTATACAATCTATGTCACAGGTTGAATTCGCGAAGAATAAATTTTTTTAAGAATGTTAGTTTTTTCGAATGAAAGAGAGATGGGAAAAATTTTCTCTTTTCCAGTCGAAAAAACTAACATTCTTAAAAAAATTTATTCTTCGCGAATTCAACCTGTGACATAGATTGTGGCTTGACGAAACATGATAAAGCAAAAGTTTTGTTTAGAAACTGTTCGTTAGGTTGCCAAATGGAGTAACCGGTGGCAAGATTCTATAAGATATTATTCTTAAAAATCAATATTTAAAAGAAAATAAATTTCTGTTAACCAAACTTCATTTCAAACTCGCGAGAATTGGAGCATATAGATAATTTGATGTTCTCTATCCGATTGAAGTCAAACTAATCATTCGAGCATGTTTCCTCGATGAACAGCATCATTTGTAACAAAACCTCTTAAAGTTTTTTGAACATTTTACATACTCGAACTCAACTGCCAAGTACCATCAAAGAAACATTGTCGTGCATATTTAATGCTAACCGATACATATTCCACCGATGTATACTGGTCATTTTTCTTTTTGTATGCCAAGCCTTCTAATGGGTCCTGTCGTTCACAAATTTTAGGGGGGGGGGTCATCTATTGTGTCCCTTTTCTTTAGAAAATATAATAAAAATATAAATATCGTTTTTAAAAAAACCGCCAGGCGTTTATACTTTTATTATATTTTCTAAAGGAAAGATCGTATAGAGTGTCAGTTGTCCGTTTTTTATTATAGTAAAAGAAATTTTGTGCACGATAATATTTTTCCGAAGATTTTTGAGATGACAAAGAAATTTATCTCAGCATGATCTTTTGCAATAAACTTATTTCTTCTTGCTGATAAAAAGAAAATTTTTAATTAATGAATGACTTATTACAACCGATCCTAGTTTCACGCCTCACGCCTCACACCTCACTACAGTTTATCACTTTCTTAAAGCTCTGAGAAAAATACCAAATCCAAATCACTGGCACAGCAGTTGATAACGCCTCATTTTGAGAAAAATAAGTTATTTATCTAACTGAACAGCTAAAAAAGCGAGTCTGTTAACCAAATAGCAAATGATAATTTAAAACTGTGGAATAAAAGAAAATACCATTTAACAGGTTAAAAGGACAGCCTTTGGAATGAAACTAACCCATAGCAATTGGAAAATATAAAGTTACGTACTAAACCTAAAAGGTTTTTGAAACGATTTAGAAAACCGTTTTTGTACTTTCTAAAACCTTTTTCGTCTTCTAAAAACCTCTAGGGGTCTTTTTCAAAACCGAAAAGGGCTTATCACGTCTACCAAACCTAAAAGGGTTGCGCCTTATTCCAAATTACTAAACCGTCCAAAAGGATTTAGTATCGAAAAAGGGTTTATTAGACACGCTCGAAAACCGTTTTTTGAGTACTAAACCCTTTTTTTAGGATTTTATAAAATACGCTTGTTTTTTAGAGAGTACTGCTACTGCCGGTGATATAGATGTGACTGGTGGTGCAAAAACAATGATTGTCGTTGCTGTTATTGGTCCTCTTTTATCGATGATTGGCATCGCATTGTGTATCTATTTAGCGTTCCTCGAATCGAATAGAAAACGACGAGGAAAACGTACTAGAAATCTTACAACTGAGTCGGAACTATCACAGATCAGTACTAATGATTTGACTAGTCAGTTGCAAACGTAGATTCTGAGTAGTGAAAGGCAACAGAAAAGCTGACGTGCGATCTCTACAGATAATCTTGTAGACAAATAAGACGTTTTTCAAAACGAAAGGCAAACTCATGATAAATATACACCTTTATCAAAAAAGAGTGTGAATAAATGAAGAGTTAAAAGGTAAGAATTACTTTTTTGGCAAATATTCTCATTCCGTTTTCTATTCTAAGAAAAAAATGGGTCCTTCAAGAGGCCTCTTATTTTGTGTTTTCTCACCTGCATTTATTATGCCAATTATTAATTTTGCTGTCGGTTTAAATCGACAGGACGATGCGTGTCCAGTTTATAAAGATATTGCAACAAATCTAATTGGTTCTGGAGTTTCAGAATTTTGTCTTCTCATCTTTTTTACCTACTTTTTCAATCGATTAGCTTCAGGATATGATAAGGTTGATGTTTTTACGACAACAACTACATACGCAGATGGTAGTAAGAAAGTTGAAACATCAAAAATGTCACATCTGAAATGGTTTGCTGGTAAGAGTTCTACTAAATCATAAAACGTGCTTAACCTTTAAATCTTTCCTTCCCTCTCTTTTAGGTTTAACATTCCTAAGCTTCGTAGCTACCTGTTATTTCTTTATTGTTAGTCATAATACATTTCGTGTCTATCATCGTATGCAGTACAAAGATTCTAACCAAGATAATTATTGTTCGAAAACTCTATATCAAACTGCATTTGCATTACTCATTGTAACATATGTTATGTTATTTTTTACTTTACTTTTTATTCTTGTATTATGGTGTAAAAAGAAATGAAGAAAGTTATTCATTAACACTGTACACCAAAACAAAGACAAAATACACAAAAAGATTTATGAGGCAGAAGCTTTTTTTGTATTTTTGGCATAAAGCCTTATTCAGTTTTTTCTCCTTTTATTTTCTCTACCTCTTCTGTTTCTTCGTTTTATTTCGTTTCCTTTTTTCGCTTATTTGTTCTGTGTTTTCCTGTTCGTCAGATATTTATGCTGATGAGCTTTCTAAATAAAGCGAGATCAACACGAAACATCAACCTATCTGTACTTCAACAAAGGACCCTGCCGGATTTAAAAATCTGAAAGTATCAAAAAGCTGAATAGCAGGTTCGATAGAGAATTTTATTGCGCATCTAACCATATTTGATTTTTGGTTTGAAACTATGATCGTTCCTCAAAAA